TAAAATCATAATTATCGTTTTCCCTAAAACAAAGAGATGAAAGAAATAACATTGTTTTAGGTTTCCAGTTTTCAACTATCTTAAAGCTTAAAAGATATTGATTTGCATTATCATTGGGCATATAATGATATAGAAAAGAGATATCTCGTTGCACGACATTTACGAAAGAACCTTTTCATCAAAAAGCTTACTTTTCATCATCATTATTCATTTTCGGCAGCAGCCACTCCGTCAGTTACATAATCATACCTATAAACAAAAGAAACATTAGACATTTTAGTTGATCGCAAACGTAAACTCCAAAATGCTTTGACCAAAATAAAAACGCCAAAATGCACCTAAACTTTTTTTTTTGGCTTAAACTTTGGAAAATGTATCTAAACTTTCAGTTTGTGTTTAACGTTTGCACTCGGTGTATATATTTTATAAGAAACAAAAAATATGTTTTAATGTTGAAAATGTGATTCCCCCTTCTTTTAATCTGGTGTCCTATGCAAAGATAGCAGACGCAAACACTAAAGCAAAAATGTCGTCTGAGGCTTAGTTTGCATATATAAAATGATGACTATTTTAAATAACTTATTGATCTCACTTTATTTTGCGAGAAAGTTGGTGTATCCCTGTCGCTGCCATAGCAACATTAACACTGAACAGGTTCCAGTTTTTCTGTACATGAGAAGTCAAATTCAACACACAAAAAAACCAAAAATCCAATAAAACACTCAAACTCAAAAATTAAGAAGTATGGAAAACTTACAGGAGTAATTACAGTGCTACAACGACACCAAATCATTCCAGTACATGACACAGCTGATACAAACAATTAAACTGTAGTTAGAAGATTCTTTAAGGTATGGTAACACCAAGAAGTAGTAAATATATTAGAAAGCAACAACCACAATGTGTATATACCAATTTGTTGAAGGTATGAAATATTGTCTGGGGGTTTCTGGAAATCTGCAATGTTAGCAATGCTTATACCCCATTTGAAAGTTGGAGCCCAGAAATGAACTGATAAGACCAAACCAAAAATTGAACGACCTGAATAATTCCTTGGTTACAATTAGAGTATCAAGTAGTTAGAAAGGAGTAACAAGATAATACTCAAACTCAGGATTATCAAACTTTAACGATTCATAAGTCGTTAGAATTTGAATGATGCAAAGATTCGAAAGGAAACGTATGAGATTCCATTAATATAGCGAAATAAATATTAAAAGAAAATTGGGAGTCATGAAATAATGTGAACAGAATCTGATTTGACTCACTTGTCTTAGGTCCTGCCGGGTGGTTCCAGAGTGCTTGAAGCTTAGACATCGCTATCTACTTTTTTCTTTTTGGGAGATTCTCTTTTCTGTCTGGTTCAGCCTCTCGCATAAATATCAACGAAAAGATGCTACACAAAATGACGTCGTATAATAAAGCACTAAAGTTACTATCGATCCTATTGTTTTTTAAATGAATTCTGATAATATTTTGTTTTTTTTCTTTCACATTTTTCATATATAAGAGCAGCTCCATTGCTGAATCTCTTACTCGATTTCCAAATTTTACCTTTTTAATATTCTAATAATTTTTTCGGCTGAATTAAAAAAAAACAAAAAAGTTGATCAATCGAAGTGTTAATGGAACCCATGTTTGGCTTAAGAATTACCTCTTAAATAAGGTATTTAGTAACTGAATCCTTAACTGTGTCATGAGACCTATTATTATTTTAATTTTTTTTTTATGAACTCTCTTAAGAGTCTTGCAATGGAGTTGATCTAATATATAGTCATGCGTTCGACGAATAAATAAATAAAAATAAATAGTTATGCAATATTAATGCAGCATATTGATGTTTGGATTAATGTGCTGAGGAAGATGTATGATGCTAAGCCACAACATTTCAGGAGCAAAAGGATGTGCTTCCTTGATCATCTCTTTTCTCAAGAATGGAGATTCAACTACCACAATTTTAAGGATTTAGAGCATGATCACAACGGTTTAAGAAGAAGACTCTTTGGTGGAGCGTAGAATTATTATTCAGGCGCCATACTATCATTTTGCCGATCAAACAAGATGTGTGGGGGGGGGTGGATATTGATGATATCTATGCGCCAGTGAACTACAACGACTGTCATTGGATTGCTATGTGGATATCAATCCCTAAGAGACACATAATCGTCTTAGATAGCATTTATTTCTCTATCTCCGGTTAAGAACTCGTTGTGATAATGAAGCCATTTCTCTACATGATCCCTTTTCATATTTTTTTTTGGTTAAAATTATTGTACTGTAATGTTCATTTGAGTATTTTTTTGGGTTTTTTAAAAAGTGACTCAAAACTCCAAGTCAGACACAAACTAAACCCTTTTTAGACATTTATTTCGCATATCCATCCCAGAAGTTCTGATTATTCACGAAAATACTATTTTTTTTTCTTTTCGAAAATGAGGGTTTTGCTCTCTCATCCTCATCTTTATCAATTAATCACAAAAATATCATTGCCATCAATTCATCCAACAACCATGAGAACAACCAAAATGAAGCTCTTAATGCATCAAAAAACAAAATTTACTCATTCATTCTTATATCTTATTCTCAAAAACTACATCTCTAGATCTCACTTCCACGGAAGTATTATGGTCAAAGAATATGTAAGTTTTGCAATTGAGTTTCTGTGTGTTTTTAGAGGAGATTGTCGTGGAAGTTTTCCAATTTTCTTTGTTGGCAATAAAAAAAATCGAGAAAACTTACCTGGAAGTCTTCTTGGATAAACATGTTAATTTTGCATTTGATCAATCTGTGTCAGAAATTTGACTTCCAGGTAAGTCTTCCTCCGGGAGACTTTCAGGTAAGTCTTCCTCCGGGAGACTTTCAGGTAAGTCTTCTCAACATTTACATTAATTCTACTCACTATCGCTGGTAGTCTTCATAGGTTACTTTTGCAATTGAAAATTTAAAATTGAAACATTTAACTTAAATTGCGAGACTTTCACGTAAGTCTTCCGCCCAAAAACTTACCTGGAAGTCTTCCAAGATAATCCTTCTGCCAGAAGACTTACTTGGAAGTTTTCCAGATTTTTATTCAATGATTCTAGTCAAACCTAAGGTAATCAAAGAAGACTTACATGAAGTCTTCTGGCGGAAGACTTACCTGAAAGTCTTCTCAACAAATTTCAAATATAGTAAATTACAAAAGTAACCTACGCAGACTTAAAGCGATAGTGAGTAGACTTAATGTAAAGGTTGAGAAGACTTTGAAGTAAGTTTTCCAGTGGAATACTTACCGGGAAGTCTTCCGTAGAAAGTCAAATTTCTGACACAGGTTGATCAATTGCAAAACTAACATGTTTATCCGAGAAGACTTTCAGGTAAGTCTTCTCAGGTATTTTCGTGAATTTCTGTATTACAAAAGTAAGCCAATAATTTACAAAGGGAGACTTCTATAGAGGAGACTTCTCTGAAAGTCTTCATTTGCAAATTTTCAATTTCAAAAATGACCTAAATGAAGACTTACCTGGAAGTCTTCCACCAGAAGACTTACCTTGAAGACTTCCATGTAAGTCTTCTACGACAATGTATAATAAACTTTCATTTTCTTCGAATTTAAAATGAATTTTTAAGATTTTATTGTTAATTCATGTGTTTTAGACAATATTTGGGGTCCTGAATGAAATTCATAACTTAATTGGTGATAATTATGAGGTTACCAACATTCATGTTTTTTAATGTTTCTAACTAATCTGAGAAGACTTATTAAGAAGTCTTCTCGCCAAAGACTTTCGTGGAAGTCTTCCACGTTAGTTTTTGTAAACTTATCTTTTTAAGAATGTTAACTAATTTAAGATAAGTTTTTTAACTTTCAAAACTGTTAAATAATTTCAAGAAGATTATAATATGTACATGAAAATGAAGTTGGAAGAAGTAATCTACTTATTATATCTTAGCTATTTATAATTACAAAATTTATTGGTTTTACTTCTTAAAAGACTTTGTTGGTTTTACTTCTTAGACGTTAAAAGTGATGAACAATTAGTAGGTTAACGAGAAATTGCTTATAGTTACAAACTTTTTTTTTTTTTTGCAGAGTATATGAGATCCAAAGATGAGAAGAATTACACGATGAACATCATGTTTTGAATCTGAAGGTCATTGAAGTTTTTTATTTCATTGATTTGTAAAAGTGAAAAATATATTGTTAGCACATATATTATCTTAAGAAACATCATTACTGATTTTACAAACATAGAACCATATTTTAATTATACTCTTGGTTACTTTAATAATGTCAAATAATTCTGAACAATAAACATATTTACCATATTTTTCATTAATATTTCTTCAAATTTACAAATAAATCACAACTAAAAAGTACACTTACAAATCACAAAACAAACCACAAACAAAACTATTATAGATCATTCCTCCACAAAGACAAGCTTGGACTCCACTTGATATGACAGAAGACGCCAGAAGACTTAAGACTACGCTAAAAGACTTCCAAGAAAGTCTTCTGAATGTCTTCTGTAAGTCTTCCAATGTCTGACTCAGATCTGGAAAAAATCTGCAAAAACAAGATAAATTAGTAAGAAATACATAAGAAAAAAAACTGAGAAATTAATATAAAGTTTGGTCTTTTCATGTTTAAAGAGATTAAAGAGTGGTTGGAGAATTTTAGTTTGGAAAACGATAAGAGCTTTATGCAACAAGAGATTACTAAATGAAGAAAAAACAGACATGAAAACTTACTAAAACGCTCAGATCTGTTGTGAAAGAGGAGATATGGAAGAAGACTACGTCAAAAGACTTAAGACTACGCCAGAAGACTTAAAACTACATCAGAAAACTTAAAACTATGTCAGAAGACTTAGGACTACGCCAAAAGACATCAATGAAAGTCTTCTGAACGTCTTCTGGAAGTCTTCCAATATCTAACTCATATCTGAAAAAACCTACATATCCAAAAACGTTCAAATGACATCAAAATAGAGAAAAAAATTCAAAAAACAATGTTTTAAGCTTAAATAATAACTAAAACAATCACATTATGTTGAATTTATAACTTATTAGAATCTAATATATAAAAGACACAAAACACATATCAAAAATTTATAGATCTACCTTTAAATGAGTGGAAGATGACAGTTATGTAATGAAAAACCTACAAAAACAAGATAAAATAGTGAGAAACACATAAAAATGAGAAATTGATATAATGTTTGGTGTTATCACATTTAAATAGTTTAGAGAGATGTTGAAGAATTTTAGAGTGATAAGAATTACATTTTTGTTACCTCCATTTGAGAGGAAGAGAGAGAATGTGTAAATTTTTATTTATATAGGAAGACAAAAATTCTAATTAGGTTAAATATTTTCGCTACAGAAGACTTACATGAAAGTCTTCCAAGAAGTCTTCTATACCCTAAATTTACTATTCGCCAAGAATACTTACTATTCGCCAAGAAGATTTGCTATTCACCTAGATGATTTACTTTTTCTCAAGAAAACTTACTATTCGCTTAGAAGACTTACTTTAGGTTGGAAGGCTAAATTCTTTTAACATTTTAAGTGGGAAAATGCTGTTAAGTCATCCGGTAAGTCTTCTAGTGCATTATATCATCAAAATTTTAAGCATTCCAAAACTCCAAAATAAAATAAATAACTAAATTACATACAAAAACTTTAGGGAAATTGCTAGAAATAACACTTTCAAGATTCCACTTTTCAATTTTACATTAACTAACTTTACCATTAAAATTTTAATAGGCAAAATACTATTATACCCCTAACTAATTAAACTTAACAATTTTAATAAGGTATTGATAGATTAGAGTTTAGGGTTTATAATTTAGGGTTTAGGGTTAAGAATTTAGGATTTATGGTTAAGAATTTAGGGTTTAGAATTTAGGGTTTAGGGTTTAGAATTTAGGGTTTAGAATTTAGGGTTTAGGGTTTAGGATTTCGAATTTAGGGTTTACGGTATGGAATTTAGGGTTTATAATTTTAGGGTTTAGGGTTTGGGGTTTAAGGTTTAAGGTTTAGGGTTTAGGGTTGAGGTTTAGGTTTTAGTATTTGAATTTTGAAATAGTATAATTCGGAAATAAATAAAAAATAATATCTTTATTTATATGTTTATTATTTATTTAAATATTTATTTTACATGTATAAAAAAACAAGAGTATAATAGTTTTTTATCCTTTAATGAAAAGTGTATTTTTGAAAATGTTCATTTGATGATGGTAAACATGAAAAGTGCTATCACCAAAGTGGTATAAGTGAAATTTTCCCAAAACTTTATTAAACTTAAAAATAAACTTATAAAGTGATTAATATACACAAAACTAAACA